AGAGGGAAAAACATGTAGTGAAAACTAACCCCCTTTCCTTCCCCTTCTAGCTTTTCCAATGTATCAAGTTGCATACACCCTGAATCCCCGCCCTCCTGGAGCCAGTCTGACAATTTTTCATTCTTGTAACCAGGGGTTTTGCATAGAGAAGAGGCCCAGAAGGAAGGCAGTAACCGAGCTCAGGGAATAAGATTTGCAGGAACCTTGCCAATGTGGATCTGTTAGTCTTGTGTCAGTTCTTTGGCCAGGGACAATTTGCACAGCATCTCATGCAGTCAGTTCCCTGCTCAGAACCGTCCACTGGCTTCCAGTCTCACTTGAGTGAAAGCAATAGGTCATGACAATCTCAAAGGTCCTATGCACTTTACTTGTGTTTACCTCATCTCCTATTGCTTTCTTTTCTTGCTCTGCTCACCATACTCTGGTTCCCTTGCTGTGTCAGGCAATCTTGTGCCTCAGGGCCCTTGCACTTGTCTTCCCTGCCCTTGGAAGTCTCTACCAGCAGACAGGCCACACTTGACTCCCTCAACTCCTAGGTCTTTCTTCAAATACCTCCTTATCAATCCTTATTGACAATCCTCTTCTTTATAATGAGAATCCTATCTCCCCTCCATAAAATAACATCTCCATTTTCCTTTCTAATTCTTCTTTAAAGCACTTAGTTATTACCATCTAGCTTATTTTATTTACTTATTTGGCTTACTCCCCACTCCACCATCTAGCTTATTTTATTTACTTATTTGGCTTACTCCCCACTCCCAGCTTGTGAACATGTTTTATGTGTTGATATTTTTTCTTTTTCTTTTTTTTTGGTTGGTCGTGGGGCGTGAACTCTGGGCCTGGGCGCTATCCTCAGATCTTAGCTTCCTGAGGTAGTTAGTATTACAGGTTTGAGCCACCGGCGCTTGGCTTGATGTTTTTTCTTAATGTACCAAATATTGCTGAATAGAGAGTAAGTTGCAGGCAGCTCTAGCCCTGAGTTCAAGCGTCAGTACCACATTAAAAAAAGTAAGAAACAAAAAGAGACAAAGTGAGTGAGAGAGAGCGAGAGAGACAGAGACAGAGGCGGGTAGAACTAAGAGGAGGAGAAGGAGGAGGAGGAGGGAAGGGGAGGACAGTGGAGCAAAATGACGTTGCAGAGTTTGAAAGCAGTAGTGGTACATTCCTGTAATCCCAACACTCAGGAGGCCTGAAGAGGGCTGGGAGGTAGCTCAGTGGTAGAGCGCTTGCCTTGCATGCCTGAGGCCCTAGGTTTGATTCCTCAGCACCACATAAGCAAAAAGAAAAAAGCCAGAAGTAGTGCTGTGGCTCAAGTGGTAGAGCGCTAGCCTTGAGCTGAAGAGCTGAGGGACAGTGCCCAGGCCCAGAGTTCAGGCCCCACGACCGGACCCCCCCCCCCCAAAAAAAAAAAAAAAAAAAAAAGAGGCCGGCTTTTTTTTTCTTTTTCAGCTCAAGGCTAGTGCTCTACCACTTGAGCCACAGCGCCACTTCCAGCTTTTTTCTTTTTGCTTATGTGGTGCTGAGAAATCGAACCCAGGGCCTCATGCATGCAAAGCAAGCGCTCTACCACTGAGCCACCTTCCCAGCCCTGACAGGAAGATTGTAAGTATGAAGTCATTCTGGGCTACATTGTGAGATATTGTCTCAAAGGAAAACAGCCAGGATAATAGGCTTATACCTATTATCATAGCTACTCAGGAGGCTGAGCTCTCCCCAAAAAACAACAGCAAAAAGTTGGGTTGGATGTGTGACTCATTTGGTAGAGTGCCCACTGAATACACAAGCTGAGTGAGTGTTAGGTCCTGGGTTCAAACCCTAGTACTTACCAAGAAATATGACTTTCAACAAATAATTTGATGAGGATAGTAAAGGAATGGGATGAAGGTGAGGGAGCAGGAGTGGAATTTTAGGAAGCTTTTCCAGTGGCAGAGGACCCCAGTCTAGTGTGGAACAGGAGAGCTGAATGTTGCTTCTATTTATCTGAAAAGGAAACCAGTAAAAGTGACCCAAAGGTAATACCATTTAGATATTTGCATCTGACCTTGATAGTGACTAAGAGGAAGCTCATTGCTTTTTAATACTGTTTTATCTTGTTTGTTACTTAATGTTGATACCTGATTATCTCTTTGGGAAACCATGGAAATGTTCCTACCATTTAGTATGGATCAACTTTAACTGGATGTGCCCTTGAACAGAACACACAAAAAGTACTTGCCCTTGGGGAACCCAGATGCTATAAAGATTTGCTTTTTCCTATTACAGGTGTCTTGATCTTCTGGGGGAGGTGATTTATTTGAGTCCTAAAGGACTGTGTGTGTGTGGACAAAGGCCCCTGGGCAGATCTTTTGGTTCCCGTGCCAGCCGGAAGCCCTAGAGCTGCACACCTGAGCACAGGAAGCACCTTAACTTCCCAACTGGGCCAATCTGGGCCACTATTAGTCCAGCTTGTCTTTTTACTTTTTACAATACTGTAAAGATACTGCTTTAAGACACAAGTGATAAGTGAGAGCTACCAAGGTTTCTATCATGCTTGATTGACTTGGGAGGTGCTTGGGAGGACAGGAAAGAAATTACAGCAGATCTCCAGTAGGGAACATTGACTGAGCCTCACCACCCTGCAAGAGAGAGTCTGCTGCTCTTTGTGTAAGCATTTCTTTTTTTTTTTTTTTTTTGGGTCCAGTCGTGGGGCCTGAACTCTGGGCCTGGGCGCTGTCCCTCAGCTCTTCAGCTCAAGGCTAGCACTCTTCCACTTGAGCCACAGCACCACTTCTGGCTTTTTTCTTATGTGGTGCTGAGGAATCGAACCCAGGGCCTCGAGCATGCAAGGCAAGTGCTCTACCACTGAGCCACCTTCCCAGCCCCTGTGTAAGCATTTCTTAGATCCAGTGTCTTGGTCTGGGAAGTTCTTTGCTCACTATAAGCCCAAGATAGAGTTAAGCCACCAAAGTCTTAGGAGCTAGGAGGCTTTGTTTGGCTAGATTCTCAGCTGAATCTGTCCCAGAAGCTACTGTTTTTAAAACTTGAGGAATGCTGTGGGAATGTGTTCCTTAGCTGTGGGAATGTGGTCTTTGGCTCTTGGCAAGGGGTCTCAGAAAAGGGCTACTTGAGTGAGGCAAATGTATTCCATGAATCTGGTTGGACAGGCTGTAACAGAAAGCAAGCATGTGAAACTCAGTTAAACTGCAGCCTTATCACACTCCCATTTCCCTGTGTGAGTGTAGTCCCTCGATTCCTTCCTGTCTACTTGCCTTCTGTCTTCTTGCCTGCCTGCCTGCCTGCCTTGCCTGCCTGCCTGCCTGCCTGCCTTCTTGCCTGCCTTCCTTCTTGCCTGCCTGCCTGCCTGCCTTCCTGCCTTCTTGCCTTCTTGCCTTCCTGCCTTCCTTTCTTTCCTCCTTCCCTCCTTCTCTCCTTTTCTCCCTTTTTTTTGGGGGGGGGGATGCTGGGTTGAACTTGGACCTTATTTAAAAATTCACTCTACCATTGAGTTACACCCCCCAGCCCTAGGCTGATGTATTTTTTATTCAGTACTAGGATTTAAATTCAGGTCTTCATGCTTGCTAGGCAAATGTTCTACTGCTCAAATCATGCCCCCAGCCCTTTTGCTCTTTTTGAGATAGGGTCTTGTCTTTGTCCAGAATGGCCTGTATGGAAATCCTATTTATACTTCCCACCATAGCTGGGGTGACAGGTGCACACCACTGCTTTCAGCTATTAAGATGACCAGGCTGTCCCTGAGCTATGATCCTGATCTTCATTTCCTGAGTAGCTGGATTACAACTTTACTATTCAGCATGGTGCTTATGTTGTAATCAAACCATTTTTTCCTGAATGGCTAATGAAATATAATTGTGAATTATTCAAAACAAAAAGATTGTCTTTAGAATGGTGTATTTAGTAATTGTTGAATTCTACTGTCCTGAAGTCACTCAAAGAATAGTGCTCCTAGAGTCTCAGGCTGGGTTGGAAGGCTTTGTGAGAGATTTAAGACCAGGAAATTGGGTAAAGTTTGGAGATTCAGGCACTTTTGAAGGACTGGGCCCATGAAGCTCTAGAGTCTAGGAGTTAGTAAGCGTCTGGGAGTAAGGGAAGCTGTGTCATATGCAGATGTTTCCAAGGGGTGATGTTCACTTCTAGTGAACATGAAGAAGAGAAGATAGGTGCATGGGGGATCCTGTGTGAACTGGCTAGCTCCTGTCAGGGACTGTGCTGGCTCAAGGAGAGGTCCTACACAAGTTGTGCAGATGAGGAAACAGATATTCGGAGTTATTTTGACATTATCTTGGCTTAGCTTCTGCAATTGTACCTACTTCACTAGGCTCTTCTCTAGTATTGAGTCCTAGTATGGTATAATTTTATGTGATTTTTAATTTCTTCTGAGTCTACTCCTGGGACCTTCCAGTGTCCAGGGAGGTCTAGAATAAGACTTTGACATGTATGTTCCTCACTGCCCAGCTTCTCTGTCTCTACCAGCAGGCTTACTACTCTGGCTCAGCCCTTCAGTCTTTTATGTTTTTGAGATGAGGTTTCACTGTATTGCATAGGCTGGTCTTAGATACTTGGCTCAAACAGTTTTCTTGCCTCAGCCTCCTGAGTAGCTGGGACTATAATTGTACAGCATAGTACCCAGCTATTCAAATATTTTCAGTTGTACTTTTCTTTCATACTTTTTCTTTTACCCATTTGTTCGTGGTAAAATACATATTGTCCCCATTTTTAGGCATACAGTTCACTGGAATTAAGCGTATTCATATTGGTGTGCAGCTATCACTACCTTCTATTTTTGGAACTTTTTTTTATCTTCGTGTTAAAAAAAACAATTTCCTGTTCTCTACTGAAAAACCTCTTTTCTATTCCTGTCTCTATGGATTTGTTTATTGTATGTACCTCAGATACTTGGAGTCATATTGTGTTTGTTGTTGTTTTGTGTCTGGCTTATTTCACTTGGCACAGTGTCTTCAAAGTCATCCTCATTATATGTGTCAGTGTCTTCTTTTTTTTCATGACAGACAGGTAATATGCCCAAGTTGTAACAAGGTTTGAGGGAGGTGCATACCACACAAGCGTGTGAGAACCCAATCATCAGGCTTATGAACCAGAAAAGAATCAGTTGTTAAGCATCAATACATTTTTTTGTTTTTGTTTTTGGTGCTGGTCTAGGGCTTGAACTTAGGGCCTGGGCACTATCCCTGAGCTTTTTTGCTCAAGGCTAACACTCTACTACTTGAGCCATAGCTCCACTTCTGGCTATTTTGATGCTTAATTGGGGATAAGAGTCTCACAGAGTTTCCTGCCCTGGCTGGCTTCAACTTGTGATCCTCAGATCTCAGCCTCCTGAGCAGCTAGGATTACTGGCTTGAGCCATTGGCACCTGACTGTATTAACACATTTTTGTCACTAATCTGTCAATAGGCTCTTGGATTCCCCCCTGCTCCCTTATTTTTTAGATGGTGCTGGTACATGGACTTATGCTCTTGCTCTGCTTTTTTGCTCAAGGCTGGCTCTTAACCATATGAGCCACATCTCCAGTGTAGCATTTTGCTGATTAATTTGAAGGAATTTTCTGCCGAAGCTTCAAACCCAAATCCTCTAGGTTTCAGCAACCTGAGTAGGTAGGATGCTAGGCTTAGGAGTTTTTTCTAATTTCTCCAGTGACTTACTGGTTTTTGTTCCCACCAGGACATGATAATTCCTCTTTCCTTACAACTTTACCAATAGAATGTCATCTCATACTTGTTTTTGTCCACCTGATAGGTGAGGATGGTGGCTCACAGTTTTGTTCTTTTTTTTTCACAGTTGTTTTAACTTGCTCTAATGTACATTTTCCTTCTGATAAGTAAGGTCAAACATCTTGTCATGGGCTTAGGAGACATACAGAGTTATGCTTAACAGGGATAAGTTCTGAGAAATGTCTCCAGGCTGTTTTGTTGTATGAACATCATATGGTGCTCATACGCAAGCCTACATAGTATGGCCATGTGGAACAGCCTGTTGCTCCTAACTTGCCAGCCTGTACAGCATGTTACTGGAATTGGGCAGGGGGTGGGGAGTTGGGATGGGGTGGGGAGTGGGGGGAAGCGAGCAAGAGACAGAGAGACAGGGAGAGACCAAAAGAGAGAGAATACCATTAAGGGAAATGATGGGCCTGAGCTTGGCTTGCTTGGCTAGTGCTAAGCCTCAATCCCTGCTTTTTACTGTTTCTTGGTTGTTATTTTTTGTTGTTGTTTTTGTTGGTTGGTTGGTGAGTGGGTGAAGGGAGCAAATTGTCAGGAAATACAGCTTCTCAGACTTTTCTGCCTGGGCTTGCTTTGAGCTACCATCCTCTGGATCTCAGTCTCCTGAGTAGCTAGGATTACAGGTATGAGCCACCAGCTCCTGGCTCTGTTTATTTTTTGATGAACTGCCAAACAATTTTCTGAAGCAGCTTTGCCATTTTACACACACACACACACACACACACACGTAATTGATGAATTGATGTGTGGGCATTCCTTATTTTCTTGTCAGTTATAGGCTTGAATTAATGGATGTGTGGACATTTCTTATTTTCTTGTCAGTTATAGACTTGAATTAAGGGCCTGGGTGCTGTCCCTGAGCTTTCTTGCTCAAGGCTAGCACTCTACCACTTTGAGCCACAGCTACACTTCTGGTTTTCTGGTGGTTAATTGAAGAGAAGAATCTTGCTAGCCCAGCGCCTGTGGCTCACACCTGTAATCCTAGCTACTCAGGAGGTTGAGATCTGAGGATCGAAGTTCAAAGCCAGCCTGGGCAGGCAAGGCTGTGACTCTTATCTCCAATTAACCTCCAGAAAACGGGAAGTGGTGCTGTGGCTCAAGTAGTACAGTGCTCACCTTAAGCTAAAAAGCTCAGGGACAGCAGCCAGGCTTAGAGTTCAAGTCCCATAACAGACAAAAAAAAAAAAAAAGGTTCATGGACTTTCCTACCCAGGCTGGCTTTGAACCTTGATCCTTAGATCTCAGCCTTCTGAGTAGCTAGGTCAATTCCTTTTATTCTCATCCCTACCAACACTAGTTTTTCCCTGTCTTGTTTTAGCTATCCTAAAGGGTTTAGAGTGTTATCTAACTGAGGTGGTGTTTTTTGTTTTGTTTTTCGTGTGTGTGTGTGTGTGTGTGTGTGTGTGTGTGTGTGTGTGTGTGTGTGTGTGTGTGTGTGTGTGTGTGTGTGTGTCCGTCCGTCCGTCCGTCCGTCTGTCCGTCCTGGGTCTTGAATTCAGGGCCTGGATGCTGTCCCTAAACTTTGAGCCACAGCTCTACTTCTGGCTTTCTTGGTGTTTAATTGGAGATAAGAGTCTCAGGACTTTCCTATCTGGGTTAACTTCAAACTGTGATTCTCAGAACTCACCCTCTTGAGTGGCAAGGATTATTGGAATGAGCACAGGTACCTGGTCGTCTCAGTGAGGTTTTGATTTGCATTTCTCCCATGACTAGTGATATTAGGAATGGGATGCCAGCTTCCAGATTGGCCCCCCAGCATGTTTCCTCTAGAAAGTCTTTGCGCTGGGGCTGAGAATATGGCTTAGTGGTAGAGTACTTGCCTAGAATGCGTGAAGCTCTGGGTTCAATTCCTCAGTACCACATAAACAGAAAAAGCTGGAAGTGGCTCAAGTGGTGGAGTGCTGCAAAAGAAGCTCAGGGACAGTGCCCAGGCCCTGAGTTCAAGCCCTAGGACTAGCAAAAAGGAAAAGAAAAAAGGGAAAAAGAAGGTCTTTGCACAGTACCAGTTAACCTTCTGGCTGACTTATCTGCCATTTTGACCCACTAGTAACTATTGATACTCCTTCATTTCACGATGGAAGAGAGGCTTTTAGCAGGTCCTGGTGACGAGGCTTCAAGGGCACATGTTTTTGTCAGTAGGTGTGATGTTGCTAAGGCTGACATAGCCATGGCTTTGGCTCTCCGGACTGCTAGGACCATGCCAGCATGTTGCTGGCCATCTCAAGAAGCAGGATCAGGATTTCTTGAGCTGGAAACAGTTCTGAGCTCATCTCATCCATCCTTCTGCAGCAACATAAGAGTCCTTACTCCTGTTCTGCCAGATGGGGAGAATCTTTAACTTATTCCTTTAGAAATTCCTATACAGAGAAATTCTACTGGCCCATTTTCCACCAGTCAATATTAGATCCTTTTATGTTTGTTAGGAAAAAATTTCTCTCTTGACTAAGATCCCGCCTTCTGTAGTACATGTTTCCACTCAGAAAATGGGGAGACAGCTGCTTCTTCGAAGGGGCTTAATTCTCTGTTCAGATAAAAACACTTTGGCAGAAGAGGCCCTCACGGAGGAAGTCCAGACCAAGCCATTCCCCTGCAGGAGGCTGTATGACCTTGTCACTTGGCTATTGCTTGGACAGCTTGCTTTGAAAAAGAGGCCTTCTGACAGGCCCCGGCTGTGTGTTTATCCTGAGGCTGGACCATTCCAAACTCATGTTTCAGAGTGTAGAGGTTTTGTCCAGCTAGCCTAGTGGGTGGTAATCAAACACAGGTGGAGACCATCTGGCCAGCCTCTCCCTCCCCCACAGCCAAGTGAGGGCTGGCTTGCCTACCACAGAGCTGGCCCTGAAAGTACCCTGCATGGAGACAGATGGTGTACACATGCATGTGTGTGAATGCACGCCAGTGCTCATGTATGCACGTGGCCCTTCTTACTGAGGTGGTGCCATGTGAGTATGAATGGTTCAGTGACTTCTCTCTTCATCTCTGGGTTCTCCCCATTAGCAGCCGAGGATGCACATGTCTCTTTTAGTCTCTTAAGTTTTTGTGGTTAGAAATCATGTATTTCCTTTGGCTCAAGATGAAAGTTCTGGAATAATGGTCTAATAGCTTTACAAAGCTGCCTCTAATTGGTAGCTGCTTGAAATCTTCCCTTTGCCCTAGTGACCCATCTTGTTTTGCAGAGTTCAGAGTTAGATTCAGTTTTTTGCTTTTTTGGTTTTTGTTTGTTTGTTTGTTTTTGCTTTTTGCTGGTACTAGAGTTTGTGCTCAGTACTCAATCTTGTTAATCAGGTACTCTATTATTTGAGCCATGCCTCCAGCCACTTTTTTTTGTTTAGTTACTTTTCCGATAGGCTCTCACCATTTATGCCTGGGCAGGCCTAGACCAGAATCCTGTTTATGCTTCCACAGAGCTGAGTAGATAGGCTTCAATCACCATCTTCAGCTTTTATTGGTTGAGATGAGGTCTTTTTGCCTACTTTTGGCCCTCTAGGATTACAGATGTGAGCCACTGTGCCTGGTAGTCATCTTGAGTTATCCCAGATTCTTACACCCTTTCCAGACTTTCAGCCCATAGGAAGCAGCTTTAGAAGCCTTTGTTTGCAAAGCTATTCCCTCAGCCTCTCTGTACTGAATTGACCCTAAAAGGATAATGCAGCAAAGAAATGAAATAACTTAGGTGGTATCACTTTTTTTTCTTTTAGCCTTATCTCCAGATTTTTTTTTTATTGTGAAAATACTGTACAGAGGGGTTACAATTACATGGACAAGATAACAGAAATTTATGTGTGTACCCTTCAAATGTGCTTCCCACATTGCTAGATAACTGGAAAAAACTGCAAACCACACGTACTTCCTTAATGGGCTTGGGCTTGACCGTGATGATTTCTAAGGGTTCCTTTTCAGTCTGCAAGAGATTGGACTTAGCTTTTCTGAGATTATGTTCTTTTGTATGTGCTGGGTTTACCTAGGCACAAAAGCAAAGAGTTGGATTAATGTCAGCTTCTGAGTCTTCTTATCTAGTCTTCTGACCTGTCCCTGTGGCGGATGGTAGTGGTACTAATGATGAGAGATTCCACAGGAATTCCAGGGTAGGGCATCGACTGCATCATCATCCCTTCAGAATCCTCCCCTTGTATCACTTGTTCTGGGAGCTTGACTAGCAAGGAAGTGTTGGCTGTCATCTTCACTTATGGTTTGTATTTGTATGCTAGGGAGTTTACATGTGTATAATCATTGTGGCTCATGTTTGTACAAGATATAATTACTGAAAATTATATCATGAACCTGTTTTAACTTTTAACCCTTCTCATGCTGGCAAGCTTTTTGGAGTTTGGTAACACTTCTCTGGATGTCTCCCTCCCATGAGGAGACTTAG